ATGGGTGCTTCAGAAAAATAACATCAGTTTTTTAAGGGCTAATTTTGTCTTTAACCCTCTACAAGGAACAGATCTCCGTGTAGAAGACATTACTCACGTTTGCCAAGATTTCTACTTATCTTGGTCTTAACCATCCAGCAGAAAAGTATAAAACCAAGGGATAAAAAGTAAAACCACATTAATATGCTGAATTATAAAAGGCTCAAGCCAACAACTTCTGACATTGCCAGTCCTACAGATAACCTACTACTATTATGGACTACTGGACTATATTGGATTATTCTGTTGAATTCATGCACCTACAATATTTACATGGCAATGGAATACCCATCTCTGACAAAATTAATCAAAGGGGATATAAATGAAGGACCATTTTGTATCTGTATATATAAAATAGTTAGGATAGATTTACAGTTACTTGCTCTTAATTCAATGAGAAGAAAAATTTGTAAGAGGCGAAAGATTTATATGATCTGAAGAGAAACCAGAGTATAAGAGAAGAAAGATTTGTACTAACAGTGTTTAGACAGGATATCATGTCTGCATCTTGTACTATGAGTAACCACTAAGAGGACAACAATATGCCATGTATTAATTATTGAAACTGTCCTATTAATCGGTCTTGAGACTGTCACCTTGCTATTTGTTTCTCAATAAAATTAATAAAAATAAAAAATAATCAATAAATAAATAAACAAGATTTCTACTTTCTTGTTCCTATGATTCTTTTGCCTAATGAAATGTATGAAGTGACCTGTGTCACTTATGGCTGAAAGCAGTCAGGTTTTGCACACTCTCTCCCCCTTTTCCTAGATTTTCTGTCACAGTCCACACGGAGAAATCACAGGAATAAAGCAGGCCACAATGATGAGTCACGAGGATGGCTCTGTGGGAGATTCCGCATGAGCGGGAGACTAACTCTGAGGTAAAAGCCAGCTGAGATTTTGGTCGCCTTTGTTAGGCAGCACGATCTCATCTATCGCACGGCCTCTCACTAGCTCAGCTCCCACTGATCACTATGCAGTAGTCCCCAGCTACGCATGTGGCTCTTATGTCAATAGATCACACTCATACATAAGTAACAGGCCATTCACTCAAAGAAATACCTGGGAAGCTCACGAAAGTAGTTGGGACAAATCATAGCATGTATCTAGCCAGGTACTGGGTTATCACAGAGGGATCCTCGAAGCAGATATATTGCTTTCTCACCAAGGAGGCCTCAGTTTTATGGCAGGGGAAATTCTTCATTAACACTCAAGGTTAATGTGAAATTTAGTGCAAATGCACAGCAAGTTATTGGAAAAGCAGATATAGGACTTGAGAAGGAGTTAGGAATGAGGGTATGAATTCAGAAGTAATTGCCATGGACTTGAAAGTTGAATATAAAACATGATTTATTTTTTTTTTTTTTTCAGAACCAGGGATTAAACTCAGGCCCTTGAGCGCTTATTCTACTGAGCTATCTCCCCAGCCCTTTTTTTTTTTAATGAATAAAATTTCTGAGGCAGGGTTGGCCAAATAGCTCAACGGATTAAAATGCCTGCAAGCAGGTGCAGGGGTCAGGGGTTTGATCCCTGGGCCTGCCATGCTGGCCCCGCCCCCCAGGGCAGGTTGAGAAGGTGATTGAGACTGGGGGTGGTGGCACATGCCTGTAATCCCAGCTCTTGGGAGGCTGTAAACAGACAGATCACTATTAGTTCGCTCTAGTAGTGAGCCCCTGAACACCCTGTAGACCCTTCCCTAAAATACAAAAAAAAAAAAAAAAAAAAATTCTGAGGCAAGTAGGAGTGGGAGTGGGGAGAAGCCAAGAAATGAGTCCCAGAAAAACACCCAGATTTGGGCGAGAGAGATGAGCAAAGAAAGGAAGAGATGAGAACTATGATGACAATGGCCATTCATTCTGAGAGCTAAGAATATCATATCTTCATTAATAAATTCATTTACATTTAAATTTCAAGGGTTTTAATGAGGATAAAAAATGTACTACTCCTTAACAATCCATTTACTCTCTTCCATATTAAAATAAATCACGTGCCTGACAGGCAGCTGGACATTATCTATAATAAAAAGCAAAATGATTTGTAATTCAATGTCTCAGGACTAATCTATCAGATATTAAAGCAGAAACAAGAACTTTTTGAACATGGACAATTTGCTCTGTAGAATATTTGTTTATTCAACACATACCCTAAGAGTCCAGCACATCTGGAAGTCTACAGCAGCTCTTCCTGGGCTGGCACCTCATTCCTGCAAGTTCCCCTTGCAGGCACACTGAGTTTTGTGCCAGCTTTGCCCCAACAAGGATGACCTTGCCACTTACTTAGCTGACACCCTCTGGACCCTGGTAAGAGTGCCAGACACCAACCACACTCTGTGCGCTAGCTGGGTTTTCCCATTTAATCTTCAAGACAGCCCTGTGAGGCATTATTCTCAGACCCATTTAACAGCTTGGTAGGCTTCAACGTTAGCAAGTTTGCCTAAGGTCACACACACAGCTAGCAAGAGGTGCACAGTCAGGACTCAGAAAGAGGCTGGGCAGTGCCAGAGTGCTTTAATACTGTAAGCCTTGTTACTGAAAGTGTGGTCGGATGTTGCTAGAAACACAGGCTCTCGGCCAGACCAACATTAAGCCCATACAATTAGAATTTTCTTTTTGCAGTACTGACTGAACCCAGGGCTTTGGCACTGAGCTATATCCCCAGCCTTTTATTTGTTTGTTTGGACACAGGGTCTTGCTAAATCCCTAAACTGCCCAGGTTGGGCTTGAACTTTCCACCTTCCTGCCTTGGCCTATCAGGGTTCTAAGCTCAAAGGAATGTGCTACCAGGCCCAACTAGAGTTTGGTCTTAACAAAATCTCTGGGGCATTCTCTGTATATTAAAGTAGGAAGCACAGCACTGAAGACTTAGCTGTGGTGAATATTGAGATGGGATTTTCCCCATGAGTAACAACTTGGGGAGAAAAAAAGGTGCGTTTGGTGCTGCCCGAGGCTTGAGGGAAGTATCCAAACAACCTCATGCGGTTTCAAGCACTGGAGAATACTGTGATTGGCATAGGTCAGGGCCGCTTCCCAAAGCATCAGAGACTGAGCTGGGACTTGAAGCCGGAATATTTTCTTGATTCATTTTATTTAAAAAAAAAAAAAAAAAAAAAAGGTGCTATTCCAAATGGGCACATGCCCACACTAATAACCTTCCGGAATTACAGTCTCCAGCCTGGATACCAGCGTCACCCACGGGCAGATCGGAAACCTCCAGACAACCTACAATCATTACACCGCTGGCCGCAGCTTAGAATTGCTTCGTTTAATTAATAATGCTCAGGATAAAACTAGTTTGGCCCTCTTCACCAGTCACGCCCCAGGGATGAGTAACACAGTCCGGGTGAACATTGGCCCCGGGGCAGGTACTTCCCCGGGGCTTGTAGTCGCGTCCCCTGCTGCGCTCCCCTCCTCTCGCTCGGGTGGAGCCCTGGGTCCGGTGGGCGGCCGCAGCTTTTTTCTCTCCTTGACCAGTTCAGTGTTGCTTCCCAAGGCCCAAAGTTAAGGCACTCGGGTAACGTGGGCCCCGTGCGCCTCGCCGCCCGCCTCCGGGCTGGGGTGTCCACGGCCCCCGCATCTCGGGAAGGGGCGGCGCCAGCCGGGTCCCCGGAGCTGACTCGCCGAGGCAAGGCAGTGGCAGACGGCGAGTGACGCGCGGCGGCGGGGGCGGAGCGCTGCCTCCAGGGGGAGGAGAAAACAAAGCCCCCAGCTGTCAGCGGAGGCCCGAGGCGACCACGCCGGAGCAGGTGAGTCAAGTGTATTTAAAGTGGTACCGCCCCGGCGCACCCCGGCACCCTTTGCCCGGGCGCAGTCCCTCCCAGGCCCCGCGCCACCAGCACCTCCTCTCGCCTCCCCGCCGGGTTCTGCAGCCTGCGGGGCGCGGAGTAGGCGGAACCCGGGATCCCCGATCCCAGCCAGAAGTTGGGCGCGTGTGGCTTCGGGACCCTAGGTGTGCACCCCGCAGCGCTCCTGTGGACTTCGTTGTTCATATGCCCCCCCCCCATCCTACCCTGCACCGCAGACCCCAAGGAGAGGGAAGGAGTCTGGGCTGCCACGCTGGCGGAAGCAAAGTGCACTTGCTGAGGGGTGAGGGTGAGGGGTAGGACCGGGTAGGTGGGGGAGTGGGCGTCGGCGACCAAGGGGTCTTGCAGGTGCTCGGGGAGCGTGTGGCCTTCCAGGTAGGCGAGTTGGGGCGCGGCAGAAGCTTTGCGCTGTGGGGCAGACCAGGAAGTGCCGCGCGTGGGAGCGACCCCTAAACCCAGCTAGGCTGCTTGCCCAGGGCTGCCCTGTGGGACGGACTCCTGTCACCCTACCCCAGCTGTCGCTCCTGGCACCCGAACTCTGTGGCCCGGCGGGTGCGAAGGGGTCTGGTTCACATTCTGCGCCCGAGCGGTGCTGTCGTGGGGCGCACCCTGAGCCGGGAGAAAGCCGCTGAGACTCCCCTGTCTGCCTCGGTGGGAAATTCATCGGTCTAACTTTACCAGGGCTGCTCTGAAGCCAAGAGCCTCAAAAAGGACCGGGAATGAGAGGTGGACGCAAAAAAAGCCCCTCTCCTCGCACCTGGGACTTGAGCGCGTGTAAAGCTTTAGGCCCCAGAAGGGCCAGCGGTCGGGTCACACCGAGCCTCTGCCGGTCCTGCTCCGAGGGAAGCGCTGTAGCCTCGGAAGAAGGGGCGCCGCGGCCGTTTGATCGGGTGGAGTCTTTGTCTTAACCTCCAGTTCCCGTCTGCTGCCCCCCTCCCACCGCGGGCCAGTGGCGCGTGGAGTAATTAATATTCCGAACATTAGTGGTCCCTTCACCTCCGCACCTGCCACTGCTGCCGCGCTCTACCCGCGGGTCATCTTCACTGTCTCACTTTCAGTTCCACCACCACCAAAAAAAAAAAAAAAAGCAAAGAAAAATAAAAAGGGCCACACCCACGAGGTAAGAGGTTAAGAGCACAGCCGCACCGGCCACGTAAAATCAAGGGTTAAGTGTTCAAACCTGCGCCCGCCCGCGCACTGCTCTAAGAAGAACTTTCTCAATTAGCATAGTATCTGCCCTGGGGCCGCACTGCGAGGCGGAGGTGCGGTCTCAGTCCCGGCGACTCTTTCAGAACTGTCCCGGTTGAGGTCGGAACTGCACCTGCTTCTAATCTGAGAGAAGTCGCGTTTTACAACTTCGCTGAACAGAACACTGTGGGATGAAACAGAACAGAGATCAAAAGGTAACCAGAATATCAACATTTGATGTGTTTGTCTTGCACATGGGGGGGGGGGGTGAGCGTTGGTCCTTGCCTAGCCAGCGTCCTTCCTAGAAGCGTCTCCTTGGCTTGCTTCACAGTCGTCCGCCGGGCAAAGACACCACTTAGGGGCCGTGTATCAGATGACCTCTAATGTAGGCTGCTTCAGAGCCCACCGTGCGCTCTTACAGTGTGCCTACACCTATCCTAGCCGAGGTATGTCTAGTGGCTAAGTTTTTCATGCACCGAAAAAGTGATGCTTCACCAAAGCACTGGTTCCCAGACTTTGCTGCAAATGAGAATCACCTGGGAAGCTTTAAAAAAAAAAATCAGCATCTACGTCACATCCCAAGCATTTAAATCAGATTGAAGATGAGAATTAAGCACTGGTGTTCGGAAAGAGGAAGCAAACACAAATATTCCAAGTGATCCCCTTGTGCAGCACAACTTGGGAGCCCCTGTTGCAAAGAACTCAGTGACCACAAAAGCAGATGTTGCAAGACAGGATGCTAGGTTAACTGCTCGAGTGGGTGAAAGAAAAGACACTGAAACTGGGGTGCTGGTGACTAATGTGCTGGGGAGGGGGGCTGTCACCTGACAGCTTTGCTGACGATGACACCTTTTTACCACGCAGGTTTCCCCTTCCCTGACTTCCCTGAGTCTAGCTGTTGGGATTAGAGCTGGTGGTCAGTGCCTAGTGTGTGCGGGTTGTCAAGGGAGACAGAAACCTTCTTTCGTGTGATGACAGTGTGGCAGGCAGCAGGGAAATCCAGCGAGGTGAATTGGGAGCAGGCTGGTGACTCAGCAGGCTGCACTCCAAAGCGAGCCCAGGGAATGGGAAGTGATTACCTCAAGTAGCTTATTGACACGCGGCACTTGGCCTTGGAAAACATATTTCAATATCTGACCAGGATGTTTGCTCCTAGGAGCAGCTCCCTTTTCCACCCCTCCCCCCCAATTCTACCTGCTCCCATTGATGTTTTCTGCCCTTGAAAGGGAAGTGCAAGCCAGCTGGACATCTTGTAGTTTCCTTGATGAAAGGCATATAAAAAGCTGATGGGAAAGTGTAAACTAGCTATTTCAGTTGTATGACGTACAGAGCGAGAATTGCATGTATTTTGAATACAAAAATAGGTCAAAAACTCTTTGACTATGTATTCAAGGATGAATTAAAAGATCTACTTAAATAGAAATGTTGTACCTAACATTCTATGTAAAGTTATGCTGGCTATTGACCAAAGGTTTGTTGCTTTATTAAAAAAAAAATCCCCAAAAGATAACTAAGTTCTTTGAAGATGCACACGGCGTGTTAAACTTACTTTTCCTATTTTAGTTGCTGTTTCAGTTTCTATACCTCTTCCTCTCTTCCTGTTACTCTTTATGTCACCATGATTGCCTCTTCAGCTTCAATTTTGTTAAGGGGAAAAACCATGGCTGTCTTGTAACAAGGGCTCAGTGTTGCCAGCTGTTGAGCTGCACTGGAACCTGTCCTCTAGCACCTACGTCCCCTGCTTGGAATGCTATTAGTCCTACAGACCTTTGCATCTACCGCCCCGGAGAACAGTGCACAAGATGCTTTGTGTTATAAATACTGCTTGTTTGTATTGAAGATTATCAAAAGGTGGAGGGAACATCAGAAAACAAAGCCTCCTCGATACATTCAGTTTTGTTATTTTCCAAAGCAGACATTCTGGATATGTAGAAGCTAAAAATTGCTTACAATTCTTAAATGTTATTGAACGTAGTTAATTTATTCAATTATACCTTTTCACAAAGACATACAGTATTTTGAGCATGCTAATAGGTACTGTAACATTTAGCCATTGTGTCATAGATTCACTGAACAAAAGTTTATCCATTAATATGGAAAGAAAATTCAGTTAAGGAGTTAATTTTAGCTAAGGAGTTAACATTCATTACACTAGGAGTTGCCTTAGAATACACCACTTTCATTGTCATCTACCCACTATCTTTAAAACAGGACATGTAGAGGCTGAAGGGGTAGTTCACTGGCAGAGGGCTTGCTAGGATGAGCAAGGTCCTGGGTTCAAGTCCAGTATAACAGAAAGTACCATAAGCATACTCTACACTGCAATAGCCAGGATATTTAAAAATAGAAGTGGAATGCATTCTCTGATAGATGCCTTCAAAAATAGGTGCCACCTGTTCATTCAGGCAAAAATGACTTCAACAACCACAGGGACACTACACCTGTTATCAGTGAGCTGTACCTGTCCACCATTAAATGAACTGCAGGTTAATTTTTAGGGATAAAATGTGGGGGTAGTAGATTCAAATCCCAATTTTGTAACAGTGTAAGAATTTGTGTCCTGGAATATCAGATGAGCAAACATCTGTCATGTTTTCCAAAAATTATATAAAATAAATGGTGTCCTCATTATAGATGGAAAAAAAAAAAGATTTGTACTAATAGTGTTTGGACAGGATATCATATCTGCATCTCATACTGTGAATAACCACTACAAAGACAACAATATGCAATATATTAATTATTGAAACTCTCTTACTAACCGGTTTTGAAACTATCTCATTGCTATTTGTTTCTCAATTAAATTAATAAAAAATAAAAAAATAAACTGAAAAAAAAAATAGGTGCCACTAAGAATTTCTAAGGGCTGGCCTAATGGCTCAGCCGACTAAAGCACCTGCTGAGGCAGACGCAGGGGCAGAGAGTTGGATCTCCTGGCCTGCCCTGCCAGCCCTGCTGATTGAGACTGAGCCTGGTGGCCCGCGCCTGTTATCCTAGCACTTGGGAGGCTGTAATCAGGAGGATCACTACGAGACCGATCTACACAGTGAGACCCTGTACACCCTGTCCTAAATAATAATAAAAGAATTTCCAAAGGCCAAAATTATGTCAGTGTGTCCATTCTTTTCTCTAGCTTGGAGAAGGAGCTAGGGATCTAATGGAGAAGTTTTTGAAATTTTGATTGGGAGGTGTAAGATACTAAGAGGCAGAAATGTAATCTAGAAAAATAGGAGTAGTAGGATTAATCCATATGAGTCAGAAACTTTATCAGGGTTTAGTATGTATCTAACTCAGTAATATTTACCAAAAGGAGTGGGGTAGAAATGATGCCGTCTCATTTTAGAAACTAGAGTTTTTTAGTCACCCAGTATTATTACCTTGAATTTATAGGCTTAGCATCTTATTAACATATGAAGGGCTAAACATAATTGGGAGATCCAGACAGTGAAGTAAGCCCCCAAAGTGGCAGAAACAGCTAGAACACTGGGTTACTCACTCCTGCCTGTATTTGTTGCATCATGTAAGTTACATGTGGTCTTGCCTAGAGGCTTTGGTTAGACAAGAGCAGTTCTCCTTAGCTCCACCCTCCTTTAAATAAGAGAGGCTATTCATATCTGCTGTGCTGTCGCTGACTTGGCTCTTAACCTTTGGACTGAGAAAACCTTAAACAATCTGGGATACCTCTAGTTTCTTTTCTGGTTAACAAAGTAGTGAGTTCACTTTCACATCTTTCCCAAGTTACAGAAGCAAAAACAGTGCTAGGGTTGCTCACAGGTTAGTCCTGGCACCCAGTGACATTTCAGTGCCCCGTGTGACATCCTCACTGAGAAGTCCTCTGGTTCATGCTTATGATCTCCCTCATGGGAAGCTCTTTGCCAATTATTCCTGACAGCCACAAACAGCAGTCCAGATCTTATGTAATTCACCTGCAACTGTAGGAAACATCGAAAGGGCTGGGAACGTAGCTCAGTGGTGCATCATTTGCCTAGCACACACAAGACCCTGGGCTCAACCCCTAGCACCTCCAAACAAAAAAATTGCAAGAAATGTATTCTTAATTTGAGATAAAATTAAGAATAAACTGTTATTTCCACAAAATTTTTATTTTACGTTTGCAAAAGCTAAGAACTAGTCAGAGCTACAGTTTGTTACCTTCGAACTTCATAGAATTGAATGACTAGTGGATTCGGTTTCATGAAACCTGCACACTTCAAAACTTGCTGCAAACAAACTTCACATATTGTACTGGCATTGAACTCTTACTCAGCAAAAAATCACAGTTCATGAATTTCAGAGATCAGCAAACTGTAGGCCATTATTTTTGTATGGCCTTCTAGGTAAGGCTGATTTTTTAATTTTTTTATTCAAAAATATGCAAAGAAAATTATTTGGGGAAATCTGATAAAAGTCACATTTTGGGATCCAAAATATAGTTTAGCCGTACTATAGTCATTTTTATTCACACTTGGCTGCAGCTGCTTTGGGCCAAGTGTGGCTGAGTAGAATAGTCGCACCAACATTGTGTGATCCACAAAGCCTGGAATATTTGCTCAATATTTACAGAACTTTGTAGACCTCTAATTTACTCCAACTCAGCACATTTAAATTTAATATAAGCATCTGATTATTTAAAGCCTTTGTCATTTTCCAGTTTTTTCCCTTTAGTTAAGGTAAGCAAAATTTGTTACTAAATAGGTCAACTAAGGATTAAAGACAAAAAGCAGTTGGTCTTCATCTTCTTGTGTATGTGTTTGCAAAAACAGCACAGTTCTAATATGTGAATTTTAGTGATTTGTTCACGTATAGCCTTCTGAATCTAAACGAGTGCTAAACAAGTGCTGACGTGATTCCCCAAGTCATTGTTTCCAGAGTTGTGGAAATTCAACAGAACAATCCTATGCTGAACACTTGCTGTAAGTGTTCAGCAGTAGGAACCTCCTTGTTCTCCCACCCATAGGGACACTTGTATACTTATCTGATTTAGTATGTGAGGCATAATTTGGAAACTTATTCAGATTTAGAAATTTTTATTGAACATCATTTTATTCATGTAGAATAGCAAGTGGAAACTTGCTGCTTTAATGAATGACACTTAAGTGTACATTAAGCATAAGTAATAAAGTCAACATTGCACTATGGGCAATTTAGTTTAAAATCTTCAAACTCAAAAGTAGACCAGATTATGAAATTCAAATGATTTACCTTTCCTGGAATG